ACAAAACAGGTTTTACTGATGAGATGCACAAGTGTGAAATTCAGAATGCAGATATAATGCAAAGGTTATCTTGCTGTTGCTGGTTGTGCAGGCAATCAAGGTCATGGGAACTAAATGCTAAGAGGTAATTACAGAGCAGACACTCCACCATGAAACATCTATTCACCAGATTTGGAGGGGTTAAAAGACAGTTGTGGGGTGGTGGCAGCATTTTCAGATCTCAGCTCTCCTATGTGGTGTGCTCTTGAAATTTATCCTATTCAAGATTCCTGCTATTTCACAGTGCTTTCAATAACTTTGCAAGCACATATTTATCTACATTAAATCCTTTGCTACTTGAAAGACCTAGAGTGAGCTTTGTTTCCTGCACTGAAGTGTGCCTAATACAAACCCCACTGTTCCTACTCTTCAGCACATACCATGTACTTCAGTGTTATGGGTCGCTGTTGGGCATCAAATAAAACTCGAGATTCCCTGATAAGGTCTTTGCTTGAACTAACCTTCCTTTCTGAAAATCTCACTCTATGTAATGCACTCTTGCTCATTATTCTGCTCCAGGTTCAGTGCCAATGAAAATTCCCTCATGGGACCCTTTTCCTCCCTCCCCTCTCTTCCCCTTCTCCTCCTCCTCCTCTTTCTCCTATTGTTCCTTTCTCTCTCCCCCTTCCCCTTCCTCTCTCACTCTCCCTCTCGCTCTCTGTGCCTGGCTCACTACATACCTCTAAATGTCTATAGCAATAAACTCTTCTTCCTTATTAATCATCATAATCATATATTTATGTCCAATTCCCCTAAATGTATTAGGGCATACCTCGAGCTTCTTTGCATGCTTATTGTATTTTAATGCATGTGTGACAAATTCACCAAGTCCTATTCCAATGTCTTGGGTATAGCTATAGGTTGATAAATATTTTCAGGTTAATTATGGGTGAAAGAAATTTTGCATTCCACATGCAACCCTAGTTTTCATAGACTTTCAAAATTGACACCCTAAAATTGTGATATGTCACTGATATTCTTTAACATTCAAGCCAAAACAAGATGTTGCAGAAATTGTCAGTGATTCCTAGTTGAAGATGAAGGTATGCTTTTTAATGATGAGGGAGAAAAAAAAAAAACAGTAATTCAATCAACTTGTACATTGTTTTAAATCTGGCTCAAAAACTAGAAACACACATTTGCTATTCACTGAATTCCTAGAGAAGCATTTGTTGATTCCTAGAAAAAGTTGTTCTTTTTATGCCCTTATGTCATCTAAATAAACACACGAACATATATTTCCCTCTCTGTGGAATGTATATATTCAAACAAAAAGTTTTGGGCTTTTCAGAAGCATACTACAGAAGTGAATAAGTATTAACACGGATGGCTAGAGAGAGTGAACTATGCCAAGAAATAGAAATGGATGAGAAAATGCATTGCAAATTAAAAATCACCATATAAATACAAAATACTTTAAGTGAAGAATAGTTTCCTTTCTTAGCAAGGAAATTGTAGGCTTGAGACCAAGACTTGGTAGCATACTTAACTATCTAAATTTGGGCCGATTGCTTACTGTCATTGAGTTTCATTTTAGTTGCGCATCAAATGGGAAAACTGGATTTTATTTTCTTGGTTCTCTTGAATTAAAGCACAAAAACAACCAATAGAGAATGCTCCTGAGTACAGACTAGATTTATAGCAGATGTTCATCACATCTTGAAAACACTCACGCCACAGCTGAGAAACAAGGCATGACAGCCAAATAGGACACTTTTGGCTTCTATCAATCATCTCATGGGTGTGTGATAAAATTAAAAGAAGGCAAAAGGAAGGTACAATGCAGTACTTCTAGAAGACACTGGTTCCTGTCATAAGATGCAAGACAGCTGCATGTTTAAGAGCCATCCAGTCCCTTGATCACACAGATGTTTGGCACAGAACAGTCCAGGGTCCAGATGTTCAACCACAGTTAGTACTTTGTATCCAGAAGTTAAAGCATCGGATAGAATAGGCTTTAACACATTGTTTTTCCTACCTTGTGATAGCTTTCATTTTTCTTTCTTTTTTATAATTCTCAGGACTGAATGTCTTCATGTTTTCAATCTACAATGGATCATTTTAGGCTCATATTTTTTATCCAACCATAATAAATATTACAGTATAGGTTTGTAATCAGTATTCATTTTAAGAAAAGTAATGGTTTAATGGAAAGAAATAAAGTTTGAATTTTTTTGGCTTTAAAAAGTTATTTTCAATAACAATTATAATACAACATTTTGAAGGAAATTAAATTTGAATAAAGTTGAGGCAAACAGCATTTACATGTGAAAACAGAGATTATCTATGAATTGATTAATCATGTTTAATCTGGTTACATGGCTTAACCCAGAATTCACTAGGTGCTATCCCAAAAGTGGTTTTAGGCCAGTCCCACTAGGTAACAAATTAACAAATTACAGAATCTACCTCTAGTGAATATATTCCCTAAAAATGCTGCTTCATTACCGTCCCATTATTCACACTGATGATTTTCATCTGGTACTAAGAACATTGCAATTTTTTGACTATCAAATCTTTAGCTACTGATTTATCTCAGGAAAGATGCATAGACTATGTACAAATGATTGCATTTTCAACAATATATTAAATCACCTTAACATACTCCCCTCCCTCCTCTATCTTTTTTGATGGCAGTTTGAACAATCAGGTAATAGCCTGTTGATAAATTAATGGCTGCAGCTGGTTTTATAGCCCAAATCTTCCAGTAGTACAAACAGATGGACTATAGATCTCTGATAATGTAATTAGAGCTGCCACTGTAGTATATTGGAAATATTATTGAATTAGGAATTAGGAAACTGAGATTGCAGTTCTGTTTTATTATTAACAATATATAAAACAAAGATGTTTAATTTTTCCTGTTGAGTTTTAATTTCTTTATCAATAAGGGTTGAAAGAGGTGGTCTCTAATGTGCCTTCTGCTAATTAGCCTCCTGTTACAAGTCATGTCTGCCCTAGCATATACAGGAAGTGCCTATATTTGCTTTGTTAACTAGTATTTCAAATATATATTTTCCTTCTCACACCCATGATATATACTGTTTTCTTCATTAGATATGAAACTACTGCATAAACTATTCAGTAGTTTTAAGAGGAGATAACTAATGATAAACATCCCCAAAACAGTAACTCTCTAAAAACTAAGACTATAGGGTGCCTGGGTTGCTCAGACATTAAGCATCTGCCTTCCACACAGGTCATGATGCCAGGGTCCTGGGATTGAGCCCCACATCGGGCTCCCTGCTCAGTGGGAAGCCTGCTTCTCCCTCTCCCGCTCCCTCTTCTTGTGTTCCCTTTCTGGCTGTGTCTCTCTCTGTCAAATAAATAAATAAAATCTTCAAGTAAGTAAGTAAGTAAGTAAGTAAATAAATAAATAAATAAATAAAATTAAGACTATATAGTCAGGGGGGATGGGTTAGCCTGGTGATGGGTATTAAAGAAGGCACGTATTGAATGGAGCACTGGGTGTTATGCACAAACAATAAATCATGGAACACCACATCAAAAACTAATGATGTAATGTATGGTGATTAACATAATAAAATAAAATTTTAAAAGAGACTATATAGAGCACAAAGATTAACATGTTAAAACTCTACAAATGTGAAAAATCCAAATCAGCTGAATATTAATTGTGGCTTTAACATTTTAGTTGTGTTTTAAAGAAGGCTGATAAATATCACTCTATATGAGGCTACTTATACATAAACAACTTTTTAAAAATCACAGACCTGTACCTCTGAAACAAATAATACATTATATGTTAAAAAAAAAAAAAAAAGAAGAAGAAGAAGAAGAAGATAGCAGGAAGGGGAGAATGAAGGGGGGTAAATCGGAGGGGGAGACGAACCATGAGAGACTATGGACTCTGAGAAACAAACTGAGGGTTCTAGA